AATAATTAAAAAAGTAAGTGGTTTTTAACATTTTACTTCAAAATAAAATTCAATATTCTTATTTAACTAACTAGGAAATGTTAACATATCATTAATAAAATAATATATTTTAAAATATCAAATGCAACTGTGATCGGATTAATTATTATTCACCCTATTGAATACAACAGTTTTTGGTGCCACGGTGTATATCTCCAAACAACACTCCCAGTCCGAAACATATCTAATTATTTGTGGTGGGGCGCGAGAGAATGAGAGCGATCCAACTACTGGGGACTTTAAGTTGCCCTTCATTGTACGACTAGTGACTAGTTGGGTTCATAGGTCGTTATTACAAATAATTAAAAACATCACAGGTTTAAAAACGGAAAACTGTACAAATATAAAAATTTTTAAAATTCATAACTACGGTGGACTAGAGCAGAAAATCAAACAAAATGAACAAAGTCGCCTGTCTTTTAGGTACGAATATCAGATAAGGAGGAAAAAAGTGAAAAAATATTAAAGTTTTTGTTCCCTTAATACCTATGCGGAGAACGGGGAAATTCTACCAAAAATTTGTAAACTGTTAATTTATTTGATTATTATTAAACAAAAATAACCAAAAAAAGGTCACATACCACAATACAGGGTGTCGCCTGAAAGACTGTCCCTGTTATTAAAATATTGATTTAATAAAAAAGTATAAAATACTCTGAGACCATCGATATCAGTCATTGCATTCATTGGATTACTTTCCCTTGCAATATGACACATCTCTAAAAATTTTCTTTTTTATGGTTGGTTTCCGAATCTAATACTAAAATGTCGTCATAATTCATACTGTGACCTGAGGATAAACAATGATTTGCCAACATGCAACTGTGTTTATTCAGTCGTATGTCACTTTTATGTGCCGTAACTCTATCTTTTAGTTTTTGTTTTGTTTGACCTATATTTTTCAATTCACAATCCGTACATGGGATGCAATAAACTATACCGGACCGCTGCAATAGCAGATCTTTATCTTTTAATTTAGTAAACAGATTATTTACCGTTAAATGATGTTTAAAAGCCAACTAAAAACACCACCTTGTCCAGACAAACATTTTTTTAATTTGGAAGAAACAGCACCTAAATGTGGTGAAGAATAATGAAAATTTTGTATTACTGAGTTATTATTCCGAAAGTCTTGAACACCCTGTAACTGTGATCTCGAGAACAATAGACTTTTAAGAAGAGGGAGGAGGACTTTCGGAATAATAACTCAGTAATACAAAATTTTCATTATTTTTCAGTACCACATTTAGGTGCCGTTTCTTCCAAATCAAAAAAATGTTTGTCTGGACAAGGTGGTGTCAAGTTGGATTTTAAAAATCATTTAACGGTAAATAATCTGTTTACTAAATTAAAAGATAAAGATCTGATATTGATGCGGTCCAGTGTAGTTTATTGCATCCCATGTACGGATTGTGAATTGAAATATATATGTCAAACAAAACAAAAACTAAAAGAAAGAGTTAGGTACGGCACATAAAAGTGCCATACGACTGAATAAACACAGTTGCATGTTGGCAAATCCTTGTTTATCCTCAGGTCACAGTATGAATTATGACGAAATTTTAGTATTAGATTCGAAAACCAACCATAAAAAAAGAAAATTTTTAGAGATGTGTCATATTGCAAGGGAAAGTCATCCAATGAATGCAATGACTGATATCGAGTGTAATTTATACTTTTTTATTAAATCAATATTTTAATAACAGGGACAGTCTTTCAGGCGACACCCTGTATAGTGGTTGTGACCTTTTTTGGTTATTTTTGTTTAATAATCTAAGAAATTAACAGTTTAAAATTTTTGGTAGAGTTTCCCCGTTCTCCGCATAAGTATTAAGGGAACAAAAACTTTAATATTTTTTCACTTCTTTCCTCCTTATCTGATATTCGTACCTAAAAGACAGGCGACTTTGTTCATTTTGTTTGATTTCGGCTCTAGTCTGCCGTAGTTATGAATTTTAAAAATTTGTATATTTGTACAATTTTCCGTTTTTAAACCTGTGATGTTTTTAATTATTTGTAATAACAACCTATATCCCCGGTAGGTGTACCTCTATCGTGTTGGCTAACTTCAATGTAATTCTCGCATAGTAAGTAATTTTTAATTGACTAAATTATAAGAAAATTTTAACTTGTATCCTATTGTAGTTTTTTCCTGATGAAGAAATAAAATATAGTTTCGAAAGCTTGAAAAATTAAGAGTGTAACTTTTTTATCCTTCCTGCATCCCCGTCTAAGAACGAAAGGTTTTTAACTTAGACAGCCGTCCAATTTTTCGGCTTTATATATATATATAGAACAGGAAGGGTAGTCTTGACTGACTAGTTAAGAAAAAAAAAACCAGTAATGTATTTGGGATTGCAGTCAACAGTGCTAAGGGCTAATGTAATAAGAACACTCTGTGTTGTTGTCAAGCTTTCGGAAATGTTTATTTCCTTTCTCAAGATATAAACGTGAGAATATACTATAAAATAGAAAATAGTTCACATTTGAAAGGCATGGCTCCTTTTTACTGTATTAGTTGTTTATATGTTAAAAATTGACTTAAAAATTGTTTTTTATAAAAGAATGTTTGACTATAGTTACAATTATTTTTAATCTAGTGAAGCTCATAAAATTTTAACAATGTTCTTGTATACTTCGTTTTTGATGGTTTTTATAGTATAATCTCACGTTTATGTCTTGAGAAAGGAAATAAACATTTCCGAAAGCTTGACAACAACACAGAGTGTTCTTATTACATTAGCCCTTAGCACTATTGACTGCAATCCCAAATACATTACTGGTTTTTTTTTTCTTAACTAGTCAGTCAAGACTACCCTTCCTGTTCTATATATATATATAAAGCCGAAAAATTGGACGGCTGTCTAAGTTAAAAACCTTTCGTTCTTAGACGGGGATGCAGGAAGGATAAAAAAGTTACACTCTTAATTTTTCAAGCTTTCGAAACTATATTTTATTTCTTCATCAGGAAAAAACTACAATAGGATACAAGTTAAAATTTTCTTATAATTTAGTCAATTAAAAATTACTTACTATGCGAGAATTACATTGAAGTTAGCCAACACGATAGAGGTACACCTACCGGGGATTATTACAAATAATTAAAAACATCACAGGTTTAAAAACGGAAAATTGTACAAATATACAAATTTTTAAAATTCATAACTACGGCAGACTAGAGCCGAAATCAAACAAAATGAACAAAGTCGCCTGTCTTTTAGGTACGAATATCAGATAAGGAGGAAAAAAGTGAAAAAATATTAAAGTTTTTGTTCCCTTAATACTTATGCGGAGAACGGGGAAACTCTACCAAAAATTTTAAACAATTAATTAGTTAGATTATGGAACAAAAATAACAAACAAAAGTTACATACCGCTATACAAGGTGTCACCTAAAAGATTGTCCCTGTTATTAAAATATTGATTTAATAAAAAAGTATAAATTACGCTGAGACCATCGATATCAGTCATTGCATTCATTGGATTAACTTCCCTTGCAATATGACACATCTCTAAAAATTTTCTTTTTTTGTGGTTGTTTTCTGAATCTAATACTAAAATTTCGTCATAATTCATACTGTGACCTGAAGATAAACAATGATTTGCCAACATGCAACTGTGTTTATTCAGTCGTATGTCACTTTTATGTGCCGTAACTCTATCTTTTAGTTTTTGTTTTGTTTGACCTATATATTTCAAATCACAATCCATACATGGGATGCAATAAACTACACTGGACCGCTGCAATAGCGAATCTTTATCTTTTAATTTAGTGAAAAGATTATTAACCGTTAAATGATTTTTAAAGGCCAACTTGACACTACCTTGTCCAGACAAACATTTTTTTAATTTGGAAGAAACAGTACCCAAATGTGGTACTGAAAAATACTGAAAATTTTGTATTCTTGAATTATTGTTACGAAAGTCTTGAACACCCTGTAACTGTGATCTCGAGAACAAAAGACTTTTAAGAAGAGGAGGTGGATAACCACATTTAATAAATAAATTGTACAATTGTTGTAAATTAATGTTTTTAAGTGAATGATGACTTGTAGCTATTACTCTAGTTTTCATACCCAAAATCAAATTGATTTTTTGTTGTTGTGTGTGGAAAGACTCATAATGTAAAAATCTGCCTGATGATCCAGGTTTCCTATACCAAGATGTTATGAGCGAGTTGTCCTCTCTCCTAATGAGTCTTGTGTCTAAAAAGGGTNACATTGATATACAAAATAAAATATTAATAAATTAATTTATTGATAACATCTGTTGTTTAGAGTTGTTAGTTGTGTTTGGTTTCTGGAAGAATAATATTTTGATTTGAACCGACTACTGAGGAGAGTCTAAAGCTAGCAGGGAGAAGGTATACAACATCACACCAAAATCAAATTTACATGTTACACTAAAACACAATTTAAAATTTAATTTGGCGCTTATACAAATAGAAAGTCACATAACTATATACCATAACAATATGTCGTCCGAACGTGGAGCAAGAAGAAAAAGTGAAGGCTAGAAGAAAAAGTAAAGACAAGAATAAAACTAGAGAAATGGATCTTAGAAGTGGAAAACAAACTGGAGAAGAATCAAGTGAGTCTTTATCAGAGCAAGAAACGACAATGGAACCAGGACCAATAACAGGAAGAGGAAGAAAATCGGCAATACAGAATATGATAGAAGATATGACGAATACTATACATGAAGATAGAAAAAAACAAGACGAAGATAGAAAAAGACTAGAGGAGACAATAAAACAAGGAAGAAAAGATTTACAAAAATTGGAACAAGGAAGAATAGAAGATTTAAAAAAATTTGAACAAGGAAGAAAAGAAGATATGGAAACAATGGTAAAAGTAATTTAACAAAAAGTACAATCCATCAAGGAAGAAATTCGACGGGGAACACAAATATGGAAACAAGATTTAAAAGAAGATATTGAAAAGACAGAACAGGAGATAGCAATGGTAGCGAATAAAACGATGGAAATAGAAGAAACAATGAAGAAACAGGAAGAGGAAATTAAAACTATTAGAGGAAACATTGCGAAAAATACTCACAACATTGAACAAGTGAAACGACAAGTAGAAGATAGAGTATGTGGAAATAGAAATGAGATGGAATTGGAAAGAAGAACAAAAGAACAAATAGAAGAACTCCAGAAAGAAGTTGAAAGTAAGAGAATTGAAAGGACGAGAAGGTGAGATGGTTACTAGATGGATTTGTCAAGGAGACAGAAAATTACATAAATTTACAGGGAACATAAACAATTTACACCCAATGGTATTTATAAAATTATTAACCAGAGAATTAAAGAAATAGAAGAAGGAAGAATAGATGAAGATACTAAACTGGAGAGAATAAAGGAAATTATAAGAGAAAATTTGGAAGCAGAAGCACTGATATGGTTCAATGGCATAGAGAATGATGTTCAAGATTACGAACAATTAAGAAATCGATTCTTACAACATTTTTGGGGTGACGATGCACAATTGATGGTAAGAGAACGGTTATATTTTGGAAAGTTTAATCCACACATGTCCAACAGTCTCACTAACTATGCACTTAGACTATACTCACTAGCTCAGTACTTAACACCAAAAATAAATGAACAAGATTTAGTATTATACATTTCTCGACAATTCAAACAAGAGATAGCAGAAACCATCGCAATGCACGACATAAAAACAATGGAGCATATGTATAACTATTTAACAAGAGTAGAAAGAAATATGCCTAGTAATTATCAAAATTCCAGTAACATAAATCGTAGCAATATTCAAAATTCAAGTAACCATCAGGGAAATAGTATCAGATATAGTAACAGACAAAATGATAGATATCAAAACAATTTTAATAATAATAGAAATTACAATAATTTTCGGCAAAATAATCCCTACAATCAAAATAATGGCAATTTTAACAATAATTTTCGAAATAATAATAATAATTTCACCAATCGATATAACAATACTAACAATTTTGGTAATAATTACGATAACCAACGTAATCAAAATGCTCATACTAACAATAACAGAAATTTTAACAATTATAATAATAATTTCAACTATGGTTTTCGACAAAATGAATACAACAATACGCGGCGCAATCAATATCAACCATTGAGAGGGGAAGAAGATGTACAGCCTCGAAGGCAAGTTAATTTTCAGAGACGACGAAGTCCTAGCAGATCAGAAGAACGAGCTGAAATGCCCAGAAGTGAAGATGGTAGGTTTGAAACACAAAGATCCAGATCTTTAGACAGGGAATCAATAAGACAAAGTACAAACGATCCTCAAAATTTTCAGTAAAATGCAAGCCAGACAAATTAATTAAATTATATAGTTGTAATTATATGCATCCCCGAGAATTTATAACATTAGATGAAAACGTAATAATAAATCAAAATAACAATTTAATTTATGTAAATTCCAAATTTCAAAATTCCAATTTAAATATACTACTTGATACAGGTTCTGAAGCGTCATTAATAAGTCAAAGCATAGTAGAAAAATTTCAAAATTTAAATCAACACATAATTAAAGTAAATAGATTAACATTAGTAGGTCCTAATAATAAAAAACTGTATGATGTCAACAAAATGCTAGATATTACTTTAGAATTAAATAATCACAAATTAGTATTTCAACTTTTAATAGTACCTAACCTGACCATGGACATTGTCTTAGGATCAGACTATTTAAACAAATACAAAGCTAAATTAGATTATGAAAATAGAAAGTTATGCATAAATGATATATGGGTAGATTTCAAAGAAATAAATGAAGTTATAAATATGAATGATAGTGAACAAGGAATGATTGTAAAGGAAAAAGATAGGGAAATGATAGAAGTTAATTTTTGTAGTGAGAATGAATTTTATTATAATGAAGAATATGAAGAATTATTTAATATAAATGATATTAAAATAAATGTTATTGATAATTATGATAAAGAGGTAAGAGATATGTTAAAGAAGTATGAAGGATTAGTTTCGAATCAGATGAGAGTAGCTAGCAGTTATATTCATAAAATAGAAGTTAAAGATATTAAGAATTTTAAAGCAAAATCGTATCCAATACCATATATGCATAAAGAAAAAGTAAGAGAAGAAATAGGTAAATTATTGAAAGATGAAATAATAGAAAAAAGTAATACAGCATACATTAATCCAGTGGTAATAGTAAAAAAGAAAAGTGGAGACATTAGGATTTGTCTAGACGCAAGGACCATAAATAAATATACAGTTCCTCAGTACGAATCACCGTTAATGGTAGACGCTATATTGGGTAGAATTACTAAGGCTAATGTATTTACTAAATTAGATTTAAAACACAGCTTTTGGCTTATTCCTTTAGATAGTGAATCAAGGAAGTACACAGGATTCATGATAGATGGGGAAATTTTCCAATTCAAAGTAACTCCGTTTGGCTTGCAAAGTTCATGCTCAGCACTAGTAAGAGCGTTGCATAATATTTTAAATAGATATGATAAATTTGTTTTACATTATATTGATGACATCCTTATATATTCTGATACAATTGAGAATCACAGAGAACAATTGGACACAGTATTAAAAGCACTTGACGATAACGGACTAAAATTAAATATAGACAAATGTCAATTTTATCAAAGACAAGTCATATACTTAGGATACAAAATTGACCATACTGGTATACAAATGGACGAAGACCGAATACAGATAATTAGACAATTTAAAAGACCACAAAATTTAAAAATGTTACGTGGATTTTTGGGCATGATAAATTATTTTAAACGACTAATTCCGGACTTGACAAACTTTGAAATACCGTTGATAGACTTGTTAAAGAAAAATATAAAATGGACGTGGACAGAAAGACAAGAGATTGCATTTGAAAATATTAAGAATTTAATAGTAGAAGAATTGAAAGTATACCATCCAAATTATGAGTTACCATTTACTATACGGACAGACGCATCTATACAAAGACTAGCAGGAGTATTAATACAGACACATGACAACATTGAAGTTCCTATAGCTTTCACATCTCGAGTGACAAAGAAACACGAGCGAAATTATAGTGTTTCAGAGATAGAACTAGCTAGTATTATATTTACCACAACAAAGATGAGATTTTACTTACTAGGAAACCGATTTACAATACAGACGGACAATCAAGCACTGACATCAATTCTCAATAATAAATTTGGCAACAATCGTATTCATCGATGGGCATTACTACGAAATGAATATGATTTTGAAATACAGTACATACCACGGAAACACAACATATTAGCTGACGCACTTACACGTATGGACATAAGACAAAATGATGACCAACGACTAATAAAAATAGGAATAAATTTATTAACCAATAGTGATGGAATATTTTCATTTGACATAATTATTTTAGATCAAAAGAATTTAACGGACAGAGACAAAGAAAAGTTGATATATAAAGAACCAATTTACATAAAACAAACGAAAGACAATGAACTATATGCAGTAACTACAGACTTGACAAAACAAATAGTACAAGAATTACACAATAACTATGGACATGTAGGAATACACCGAACGTGGAAAATGTTCAGAGAAAATTATTATAATAAACATGACAGACAAATTACGAAACATATAATAAAAAGGTGTCATATGTGCCAATTAGCAAAAGAAAAAAATAGACATTACGAAGGAATACCAAAATCAATCAGAACAAACAGACCGGGACAAATAATCGCAATAGACTTCATAAGTAACTTAATACCTAGCTATAATGGTAGTAAAACTAGTAAACATATTTTCTTCATTGTAGACAATTTCTCTAAGTATGTAAGAATATATCCGTGTAGAAAGACTAATACAAAGACAGTTATTCAACTACTTGACAAATACAGACAAGAAGAAGGACCTTTTGAAAATTGCATACTTGACAATGCTACATATTTTAGAAACACACGACATACAAATTATTTTATACGAGTATAAGGCATCCAAAGGCAAATCCTGCCGAGAGATATGTTAAAGAGGTTTCGAAATACCTACGTACATGATGATCAGCCACAGTGGGAAAACTATTTGACAGACGTGGAACATTATTTAAACCATATACCAAATAACGTAACTGAAGAAAATCCCATTACAATATTTAAAAACATACAACCTGACAGACCATGGACGATTTCCACAAATATACAGTATGACCGACTTATACAACAAGTGAATGACAGACTATTGAAAGCGGCAGAAAGATATCAGAAACGAATGACAAGGAAAAAGACTAATCCTATACAATTTAACAAGGGCGATCTGGTTGTTGTGAGAACACTAAAGGAGAGAACGCATTAGGTGGTCGCGGTCCGTTCTGGGCTGAGCTGATCGCGGTCTTTTTTAGAAACGAACGCATTAGGCGTTCGCGGTCCCGTCCCGTCGCATCGCGGTCTGCCTGGGCTGACCTGATCGCGGTCTTTATATTACAAAATCTGTCACATTTGACAATTGCAGACAATTGCGCTCTCCTTTAAATAGTTGCAGTATTGTTTTAGTAGTGAAAATAAGTTCTATGGAAGCGGTGTTTTTATCAGCGGAAAAACATATTTAGGGGGTGAAATACACTCGAAAATTCGCCCCAAAAAACAGTTTTTTCTAAATATCTGGGGTTTTAAGCAATATTTTGGAAAGAAGCAAAGTGGAAATTACTTCTTATAAAAAATAAATGTTCATAAGTGATTCCCTGTTTGGAGATTGCTACTCTTATTTTTTATTTCAGAAAAACTATAATTTTCAAACATTTTTTATATATAGGTACAAAATTTATATATGCTCAAAAAGAATTCAAAATATGATTTATGTAAACAAATTGACAAAATTAAATTGACCTGTTTCGGGGTTTTCGTTAAAATCTCTTTTTAGGGGGTGAAAAACCCCCTAGTGCGAGAAATGTACGATTAGAATTAACATTATAAAATAAAAAGTTTTTACTTTTTCTTTAATCATACGAATAATTTTTTCTATTAGCCTAAAACGGATTTAAACGGATGCAAACTACCCCTCATGTTCACCCCCAGAAACAGTATTTCCGTGATATCTCGGGTTCTAATCAATATTTTGGAATGAAACAAAGTGGAAACTACTTCTTATAAAAAAGCAGATGTTTCACAAGTGATTCCGTGTTTGGGGGTTGTAACCCTTATTTTTTATTTCGGAAAAAATGTATTTTTCAAACAAAATGGAAATTATTTCTATTGAACAGAACGAATGATTCACAAGAAATCTTGCGTGTAATTTGTTTTTTTAGTGAAAATTTATGAAAATAAGAAATAGGTATAATTTTACCATCTACAAACCCGAGGATGCAATCCCTAATGTTCAATGGACTGTGAATCGTCCTATTTAATAGAGGAAGTTTTTCATTTTGCTTAATAAAAAAAATTGATAGGGCCAGTAGAGGACAGTGTCAACTTGACTTCGTTTTTATTTGAATGCTCGTTATTTTAATCTTTAAATATTATTAGGAAATCATTGGGTACCTATTATCTGTTTTTTTTTAAATAGTTTTTATAACAGAGTAACTGAAATATGTGGATTTTCATTTTCATATCGATAACCAGTCCTGTGTGTATATACACACAGTGTGTATATATTACTATATATATAGTAATACCTATTTTTTGAATCAAAATTTTACTGTTTTTGAAAATATTTGAATATTTGAAAATATTGTTTTAATACTTAAGAAAATTAGTTCTATGGAAGAGGTATTTTTATTGGCTCTTCTATTAAAGAGGAAGAAAAGCGCCACAAAAAAAAGCACGCAAGATTTTGGATTCATCCAATTAACAAAAAAAGAGTAGAGGGTGAATTTATTAAAAAACACGTTATTGGACGAACAGCGATTTTTTCAGTACTTCCGTATGTCATCTGGAAAGTACAATGAGCTATTAGAGATTATTCACGAAAACATTTAGTTGCAAAATACAAGATTTAGACGCTGCATACCACCTGTAGAAAGGCTGGCCGTTTGTCTAAGGTAATTTCTTTTAAATTTCGTGTAGTCATGTTCATGGAATTAGCATGGTACCTACGCGATCATCAAAAACATTCGCGCTCTAGCTTGTCTCGATCACATCGCGGTCTCCCGAGTAAGGGGAGCTGCCTCCCCCATAGAAATTCGAAAAGAGTACAAAAATTTTCTTAAGCTAAGAAAATATTTAGATTGGAAATTTTTAATCAAATATTTTATTTACTTAAATTTTAATTGAAAATTAATACACTACTT